GCCTCCGTTCCGCTCGCGCCCTCCAGCTTCCCTCAGCGCCCGAGGGTCCTTCTTCTGCGCCTCCTTCGTCCGGGATTACCTCCTCGATCGCTCCAGGTCGACGTTGGCGAACTTGTACCTGCAGGGCCAGTAGGCGTCGATGTCGTGGATGGGGATGATGTCTTCTGAGGGCGTCTCCCCCTCCAGGGCCTCCTGCACCTGCCGAGGACAAAGGGTGGGGTCACAGAAGGAAGGGCACAAATGCACACACACGTAGGTGTACGTAGGCGTTCGTACACACACATTATCATTTCAGAATGAATATTTTCACATAGCAATAAATGTATTTGACCGGTTTCGATTATATCTACGTCAGACGTACATGTATTTCTCATATACGTACCTAGACACATAAAATAGTATACACACACATATACATGTTTGTGTAATGTGTGTGTGTCTGTATGTATGTGTGTGCTTGAGTGTTTGGGTGGGTGAATGAGTGTGTGTGTGTTTGCGTGGATGTGCGCTTATGTACACAGTAGCCATGTGTGTGTGTGTGTGTGGATCTCTATGAAGTATATATTCCGTCCTCCAGCCCCACTCTCTCCCATCCCATCCTCCGCTCTTCCCCCCCCCCCCACCTCCCATCCCAACCTCCGCTCTCCCCCTCTCCCAACACCCCCTTCCCAACCTCCCCTCTCACTCCCTCTCCCAAACCCCGCTCTCCCCCTCTCCCAACCCCTACTCTCCCCCTCCCCTCCCAAGCCCCGCTCTCCCCCCTCTCCCAACCCCCACTCTCCCTCCTCCCCCCTCCCCCTCCCTCCCTCTCCCAACCCCCACTCTCCCTTTCCCCTCCCAACCCCGCCCCCCCTCCTTCCCTCTCCCAACCCCACTCTCCACCCTCCCTCTCCCAACCTCCGCTCTCCCCCTCCCCTCCCCACCCCCACTCTCCCCCCTCCCAACCCCCTCTCTCCCCCCTCCCCTCCCGCCTAAGCCTCTTTGCCAGCCTCTAACCTCTCTAAGCCTCTCGTGAGCTTTTTCTCTCACCTGCTCCACTTCCCGGAACACGCGCAGTAGATTCACCCCAGCGAGCTTCTTCAGGTCCTGCAGAGACCACGTTTCGTCGCGAAGGAGCTCGGCGAATAGCTCGGGGTACTTGGAGACGTCTTCGAGGCCCGCCGCCGTTCTGGGGGGGGAGGGGGATGCCCGAGTGAAACGTTTATGGAAAAGAGAGAGAAATAATGTTCAGATTTTACGTTGTCAAGGCGGATCAGCTGACTTTTTTTTTTCTTTTTTTACTTAGGTCTATTCCTTTGTCTCAAGTCACGTTACTTACATAAAGATATGTGACTCAGCTAAAGCAATATGACTCATCACCTGATGGCGCGTGACTCACCGTCTGCAGCCACGTGACCCACCTAAAGCGATATGACTCACAAGCTGACTCACTTTCTGCAGCCACGTGACTCACCTAAAACAATCTGACTCTCTACCTGTAAGACCGTGATTAACCTTCTGCAGCCACGTGACTCACCGAAAGCAATATGACTCACCACCTGAAGGCGCCTGACTCACCTTCTAAAGCCACATGCATTACCGAAAGCAATATGACTCTCTGCCTGATAGCGCCTGACTCACCGTCTGCAGCCACGCGACTCACCTAAAGCAATGTGACTCACAAGCTGACTCACCTTCTGCAGCCACGTGACTCACCTAAAGCAATATGACTCATCACCTTCTGCAGCCACGTGACTCACCTAAAGCAATATGACTCATCACCTGAAGGACCGTGACTCACCTTCTGCAGCCACGTGACTCACCTGTTTATGCCGTCGTAGCCAGCCCCGAGGCCCACGTGGTCGACACCTGCCATGGACCTTATATGGTTGATGTGTTCTGATGGGAGAAATTACTGTCATTATCTTTGTTTTTGTCACTGCCTTTATTATCATTTATTAATGTAATTGTTGTCGTTATCATGGCAATCGTTAATGTAATTATTGTTACTGAAAATGACAGTTTTGGTAGCAGTCATGAAAATGATTATGATGATAGTAAAAATGATGATGATGGTGATGAGGATGATAATAACAACAACAACAATAATAGTATTATTGATAATAATGGAATTAATGATAATAATGATAACGGCGGTAATAATAACAATCATGAGGATGATATCAATTATGATGATAATAATAATGATAATAACAATGATAATGATGATAATGATAATGATAATAATAATAACAATGATAATGATAATGATGATAATGATAATGATAATAATAATAACAATGATAATGATAATAATAATGATAATGATAATCATGACAATAATAGTAATGATAAGATGTTATTGATAATGATGGCGTACTGATAATGTTAATGATAATGATAATGATAACGATAATGATAATAATAATAATAGTAAAGATAATAATGATAATAATAATAATAGTAAAGATAATAATGATAATAATGATAGTAAAAATAATAATGATACTGATAACAATGATAACATTAATGATCATAAAAAATACGAATGCTAAAAATGTTGATAATGATAATGATGATAAGACCTATTACAACTTCTCAAGACTATACTTTCGGAAAATCGTATTTCAAAATAATTTTCTATTCTTCTTCGCCAATCTGCCTCTTCTCCCCCCCCCCAAAAAAAAGAAAGAAAGGAAAAATGATAATGAGAAAAATATAAAAGTTTTATGTTTGTGTATTCTCTAAGGCCCTAATTACATCACGACAAATTTTCATGGATTAGAGTATAAAACTCAGATGTGCTATCTTTAAAGATATTCCCTACGTACTGCCCTTAGCCTATCCTGCCTTAAGTATCATTATCAATGTTATCATCATCATTATCATCACTCTCGTCACCGCATTCCATCACCATCATCTTAATTACAGAATGGTCAGTGTAATAGCACTAATTATCCCAAACAAAGGAACCATATTCTGTTGTAATATAGCGTTGAATTGAACTGCAGTATCGAATAATATCAGTGTGATTGGATACCTTTATGTTACATCGCCGCCAGGAAATAGCACTTTATAGAGTAATGTGTATCTGCTTCCGTGCTATTGCTGTCTTTTACCTCGCTTGATGGGCTGAATTAACTGTCTATCATATAGCTTTATCTTCGTCTTTTTGGAGGTGGGGGGGGGGGGTAAGGAGATACGTGTAACTGAGTGATTATCAATAATTAGTTGTGGTAACATTAGCTGTGTGTGGCTATGAGAGTCGTTATCTTGTGTAAATATCATTTGATGTACACATATGATATGAGAACTGTATCAACATTATTTAAAACAATACAATTTCACGGCATTTCGGAAATGTGAAATAGATTCGGTACAACACATATATATGTATGTGTTTGTGCGTGTGTATATGTGTGTATGTCTGTACATATACGATTATGTGTGTGCGTGTAAATGAGTGTGTGCGTGTGTGTGCGTGTATATGTGCGTGTGTGAAGATCTGGATACACTTTGAGGGGGAATGAACTTTCCCTCCATCCTTCAACACTAAACAATTACTAATTTACTAATCAAAATAATTGCTGCCTCCCCCCCCCCCCCTCCTCACTTCCAGCTCCCTCTTCCCGTCGACTGCCCGAAAGCCTAACACACTCCTTAGTAGGAGGCTCCTCCTTTCTAATCCTCGCAGCCTCCATCTGTCCCATTCGCCAACAATAACTTAAATAAACAAGGAGCTTCTACCCCTCCCCCCCCCTTCACTACTTCCCACTCACCGTCTTGGGATCCCGTCTTCTTCCTTCACACGACGGATGAGTTGTTTGTGGCCTTGGGCAGTGTGATAATGATGACAACAACAATAAAAACAGCAATGATGATGATAATGATGATGGGGATAATGATTATAAAGATGATGATAATGATAAGAACAGTAAGAACTATATTGATGATAATGATAATAATAAATAATAGTAATGATAGTAATAATGATAATAATGTTAATTATGTAACAATAAAAGCGGTAATAACAATAATGATGATAGTGATAATGATAATAATGATATTAACAATGATAAAGATAATAGTGATAATTATAATAATAATGATAATCTTGACAATAACAATAATAATGATAACCATAACAATAATAATCATAATGACACTACTACTACTAACAATGATATCATAAATAAATCTTTCTGTCTGTCGGTGTGTATGTGTCTGTCTGTTCGTTCCTCATGTATTCAAACCACACATGTAAGTAATGGGCAACTTGACATGAGAATGAACATGGGCAGAATAACATCAGGGGAGGGGTTGTGGCAGAGAGTGGGTGGAGCAAAGTCTTCTATTACGTAACACTTTCAACGGAAATACTATATAAACCTAAATTTTAGGTTAAACATCGAATAAGCGCTCATTGTCATATATATACACAATTACCTTGATATATAAAAGGGAAATGTTGAGTGCTGGTGGTAACGTGAATATCTTTTATCTTTGATATATATATACAGTTTTTTTTTTTATTTATCTTTTTTTTGAAACGATTAAACAAAGCGAGAATTGAAACGCATAAATATAATTTTTCCGGTGTTTTCACACACACGCAAACTCATGCAAATATACAAACACATACTTTCCCGATGTTTACACATACACACTAAAGGAAGCCACGTCTTACACATACACACACACATACACGCCGTCCTTCATTCACACACACGCATACATACGCACGCACGCACAAAGTCACATACGCGCATACAAATACGCAAAAAAAAGAACCCTAATATTTTTACACACACACAATATATATATATATATATATATATATATATATATATATATATATATATATATATATGTATATATATATATATATATATATATATATATATATATATATATATATATATATATATATATATATATATATATATATATATATATATATATATATATATATGTGTGTGTCGTGTGTGTGTGTATGTGTATATGTGTGTGTGTGTGTGTGTGTGTGTGTGTGTGTGTGTGTGTGTGTGTGTGTGTGTGTGTGTGTGTGTGTGTGTGTGTGTGTGTGTGTGTGTGTGTATGTATGTACACCTACACACACGCGCGCATGCAACCCCCCCCCCCCTACGCATACATTCATGCATACACATGCGGACACAAATACAAACGCACACACATGACCTTCCTAGTATTTTTACATACGTACACACACTTACCCCAACTACACACTCACTTATTCACACACACACACACGTACACACTCACACTGTGCCCTATGATGAATATGTATTTATTTTTTTTACTTTTATTTCTTCATTGTTTTATTTATTTATTTTTTTTTTACAGACAGACGCAAAACACACTCCACACGCACATAACACACAATTTGTGTATCATATTTTTTTTATTTCATATATACAAACTCGAGCTTCTTGTCTCTCCCTGAATTTTTTCTCTCCTCCATCTCCTTGTGATGTTATTAATTATTTAAACTCCCGCCTCCTCTTCTCTCTCGCTCCTTCTTCTGGGTACCCTTCTGGGTTTTCCTCTCCCTCTGCCTCAGACTCGGCTTCTAGGCCCCTGACGATGGCGAACACAGCTCCTTCAGCTGGCTAAGCAGCTGCTGGAGCCCACGGCAGTTGTGGTCACCAGCTGCTGCTCCACCAACAAAGTCCACACACGAGGGAGATACTCCAGGAACTGGCTCTTCATGAGGCGCGGACCGGCCATCACGATCCTTTCCACCAGGGGGACGCCCCTTGAGAGGAAGGCCCTCTCCATGAGCTCGTATACCACCTTCAAGTGGTTCAGACGGCTCTCCTCCGCCAGCTTGGTGAAGCGGTTCTGGGACTGGCCATCCCGCCTGTGCCTGTTGCCTACGCCAAAGCTCTTATTGAACTTGACCTCGAACGAGGCCAGCGTGGCCACGGCCAAGGTGCGGTGGTCGCCATGGATCAGGAAACCTTACGTGGCGTCCTCGCTGTACTCAGCCATCTACGCGGGCGCAGGGGCGGCGCACACCCTTTTCGCACAAAGCGCAACATCCTCGCTGCAGCTGCCGCTACTCTCCTCCGAGTCATAGGAGGGGATGTGATCCTTACGGCTGTGCGTGTAAAGGATCTCGAGAATGCAAAGGGCAACTCCCAGCAGAGAATCGTCGTCCTGGCCCACTCCGACTTCAGCTCGACGTCTGGTCGTCCTACAGACGGAGTTTGTCGGCGACAAGAGGGATCATGGTGACCGCGAAGCTCCTCTCTTCTGTGACACGCATTCTTTTTGCATTCGCCCATTTTGTTTTTGAAGTAAAAAAAATACTATACGAACGTTCATCGCTGTATTCAAAGTTTGAAAGACTATTAAACAAGTAATTATCTTGAATTTTCCATATATGGAAAACGTTTTCATCACAAAGGGAAAAGAATGAATTTTGCTAGTGTCGGCCCCAGTTCCGTTTTACAGACCCGGTATAAAACTTTCCACTGTAACCTGATTTTGAAAACAAGTCTCCCCAAATTGCAAATGCGAAAGTGTCACAGAAGCAAAAATATAATCGATTATTGCATTATTGAGAGAGAATAACGAGAGCAGAAAGAGAGAAGAGGGAAATCTCAAAAACATCGTTACAAAAAGAAATCTACTTCGCTTTCCATGATAAAATGAGAATTCTTGGTATTCTAAATGTTTCCGTCTAAGGTCTGGTTTCATTATTTAATTTCTAAAGTATAAAGTATAAATTGTAAAGTGTAAAAAGGTCAAATACTTAAACGGATAGTTTGATAAGTGTGGCAGCAGATATTTTAACATTCCGAGGTATATTAGGATAACCCGCATTTCTGTGCTGATAATGAATAAATGCATATGAACCGTATTCATGTT